AGAAACCCGATCCTGAACAGGAAACAACAGATAAACCTCTACTCCTGTTCAATAGACGTTGAAGCTGTAAGAACAGAGCGATAGGCGAACCTATCCACCCCACCTAAAAAATAATAATAATAATAAGAGAAAAAAATAAGCAAGAGAGAGAAAAAATATGTAAGAGAAAAAAGGGTAAAAATTTCGGAGTTTACGTGGAGACGTTAGAAGTGTAGCATTAAGAGAACGTGCGATCATGTAATTATTGTTGCAATCTTTATCTCACCAGAGAGATATAGCAACAATGCTATACCGTAGAGCAATGGCGAGCAATCTAATCTTGCAATGACTTCAATTCTCACTGGGGAAGCCCACACATGTACTGTAAGTAGTTTAGTAAAGACTAATAAAGGGAACGTTATTTTTGCTGTTAATATTCTTTATAATGTTCAACGTGTTAACTGGTGTATCTTATATAAGAACAGGTCATACCAAGTTTTCTTGGCGATCTCAATTAAAATACTGTAGTTTGAATGAAGAAGATTTCTACTTATCAAAGTCTTCGAAATGGTTCCTCGTTTTCCTGCATTATTCCTGCTACTATAGTTGGCATTTAATATACAGAAGTAAATTCTGGGACCTAGGAACAGCGTACCCAATGATTAATTCAGACGTTTTCAAACCTAACACTAAGATGAAAACTGCATTTGATATTTTATTATTGTTGTGGTGTTGTAATAATGCCACATTATTATTATTATTATTATTATTATTATTACTATTATTATTTTATTTCCTTTGATTTTTGGCATGTACTCCTTTCTTTCCGGGTCCCGACTAGAGACCTAAGGTCAAAAATGGCGTCATTTTATTTTTCACTGAGCAATTTAAAAACAAAAATACACATATTTTACATAGATAAAGCCCTTCGTAAGGAGTGGGCTGTACTCGTGAGAACAATTTTTTATATTTCTTTAAGGCATGAGCTGCCAGGAATCCGTTCAATGAGTCTATTGGAATCTTTTCCAATAAATCCTATGATTCCAACTACAACAGAAATTGTTGATGTTCTCATGTGCCACATTTTTGAGATTTCAATATCAAGGTTCTTATATTTTGACAGTTTTTTGAAGATCTTCAAAGATACATTGCAGTCTGCAGGGAGTGCATTATCAATAAGGAGGCACTTTTGTTTGCAGTCTCTAGTGAAACTGCAAACAAAAAGTGCCTCCTGGTGGATGTCTGAGTGATTAGCTTTGATTGATCTGTCTGTTTATTATTATTATTATCATTATTATTATTATTATTATTGTTATTGTCATCATCATCATCATTCGATTTCTGCTATGGACACACTACCTACCAAGTCTGCGGAAAGACCTAAGGCAGGTCGTGGTGTGTTGTTATGGCCACATTTCGGTGAAGTTGCTAGCGTTACATAGACAAAGTTCTCCTTAGTGTGTGTGCTGTACTTAATAAGACAATTTTCTGTATGTCTCTTAAGCTGGGGTTTCAGGGATTCTTTCAATGTGTTGTTTTGTTCCATTTTTTATAATTCCAAGTGCACCTATTACCACTGGTATTATTCTTGTTTTCAATTTCCACATTTTTTCTATTTCAATTTCCAGGTCTTTGTATTTTGATAGTTTTTCAAATTCCTTGGTTGCTATGTTACAATCCGCTGGACAAACCATATCAATTAGTAGGCAAGTTTTTTCTTTCTGGTTTTTGACAATAATGTCCGGCCTATTTGCTTCAATTTTTCTGTCTGTGTGGATGGTATAATCCCATAGAATGGTGACATCTTCTATTTCTGTAACTGGCGCTGGCCGATGTTCATACCAGTGTTTGCTTACACATTTTCCAAAGTGTTTGCACATTGTCCAGTGTAAGTATTGCCCCACTCTATCGTGACGATTTTTATATTCATTTGGGGGGCAAGTATAGAACATCCCTGAGATTAGATGGTCTATTGTTTCTTGGTATTTGTCACAGAACCTGCATTTTGGATCCACATTATTATGTATGATATTTGCCTGAAAATTCCTAGTGAAAAGACTCTGGTCTTGCGCTGCAAGAATAAAGCCTTCAGTTTCAGACTTTAATCCAGATGCTCGTAACCATCGATGAGTATTAACTTTATCAACATTGGGTTTATTTGCACGTTCTGGATATTGGCCATGCAGAGGTTTGTCTTGCCAGCGTTGTTTCATCTGTTCAAGGGCTTTATCCTTGGCTTTCTTTTTTCATATCTTTTGCTGCAATAGTTGGTTCTTGGCTTCTGTTTTGATTTACTACAGAATCTACTAAATGTAAATGTTGTTTGTATTTACTGCCTTCTTTTATTATTGAATATTTTTTCTTTCTGTTTTCATGTTGTTTCACAACATGAAAACAGAAAGAAATTATTATTATTATTATTATCATTATTATTATTATTATTATTATTATTATTGTTATTATTATTATTATTTCTGCTTTGGACACACTACCTACCAAGTCTGCGGAAAGACCTAAGGCAGGTCGTGGTGTGTTGTTATGGCCACATTTCGGTGAAGTTGCTAGCGTTACATAGACAAAGTTCTCCTTAGTGTGTGTGCTGTACTTAATAAGACAATTTTCTGTATGTCTCTCTGCTGGGGTTTCAGGATTCTTTCAATGTGTTGTTTTGTTCCATTTTTATAATTCCAAGTGCACCTATTACCACTGGTATTATTCTTGTTTTCAATTTCCACATTTTTTCTATTTCAATTTCCAGGTCTTTGTATTTTGATAGTTTTTCAAATTCCTTGGTTGCTATGTTACAATCCGCTGGACAAGCCATATCAATTAGTAGGCAAGTTTTTTCTTTCTGGTTTTTGACAATAATGTCCGGCCTATTTGCTTCAATTTTTCTGTCTGTGTGGATGGTATAATCCCATAGAATGGTGACATCTTCTATTTCTGTAACCGGCGCTGGCCGATGTTCATACCAGTGTTTGCTTATTATTATTATTATTATTATTATTATTATTATTATTATTATTATTATCATTATTATTATTATTATTATTATTATTATTATTATTATTATTGCTTTTATTTCCTTTGATTTCTGGCGTTTACACATTTCTTTCCGGGTCCTGCTCAGGGACCTAAGGCTAAAAATGGCATCATGACATTTTCCACTGACAAAAAAATAATTACATAGCTAAAGCCCTTCGTAAAGTGTGCGCTGTACTTGTCAGAACAATTTTTTGTATCTCTTTGAGGCATGGACTTCCAGGAATCCCTTTAATTACTCTACTGGAATCTTCTCCAACCAATCTTAGGGCTCCAACTACAACAGGGATTGTTGATGTTTCCATATGCCACATTTTTGAGATTTATTGCTGTTGTTGTTGAATTATTTACTCTTCACTGAGTGTTTCCTCCATTGATAACTGTGGTCTCACATTGTAGATTAAATGACAGCACTTGCCATCAATAATTTAAAGCTCTTCTCAGTGCTGTTGCTGTTTTCAGTAATGCTGTCATCTGGACGGTCAACATACTTCCCCGGGTTTCGTGTGACTTTAAAGTCTTTTTCATCGTCTCTTCGGGGCCGTTACCGGTGCTCCGCTAACAATTGGCTCAACTACTAGTAGTAATAATAGTAGTAGTACAGTCTGAGTTCTCACATAATTAGTAACTGGTGGTTTATTTTTTAAGCAAGATTCTTCAGTACGCCAGCCGAATTCTAGCCGAATTTAGTAATGTTGTCCATACGGTTTCAAACTTACTATGAATTCCGAATTTTGAAACTCTTTCGAACTCTTCTAAACTCACCAATGATGATGGGTACAACAATCATATTTATGTTTCACTATTTTTTTCCAATTCCCCACCACCACAGGTTTACATTTTTTTTTTTTTTTCAGAATTTCACTTCTTTTTATTTTACTCGAAGGGTGTATTATTATTATTATTATTATTATTATTATTATTATTATTATTATTTCCATTGATTTCTGTTGTATATTATACTCATTTCCTTCCGGGTCACAAGCAGAGACCTAAGGTCAGAAATGACATCATGCCATTTTCCACTAAACATTTTTTTAAAAAGAATGAAAATAAAATAACTTATGATCACACACATTTTCCATAGATAAAGCCCTTCGTATGTTCACAGCTGTACTTGTTATTATTATTATTATCATTAGAAGGAGGAGGAGGAGTGTCATCATCATCATCATCATCTTAGTGCTAATAAATATCTGAACAACTATGATTATAAGCTTTTCTTCATCCTTAACGCATGTCCATACAAAGAATTCATTCACATTTTTTATTCTACGGGAATTAATATTCAATGCCCTTATAAACACTTCCTAATTAAATGATAAATCTCTTTCATTGGAAATTACCCATTGACTAAAACAGGTGGATTTAAAACAGATTTTTACATGAGATTTTATTGTAGAAATACTCAACGTTTTTATTATTATTATTATTATTATTATTATTTTAAAGATCACTAAGATTTGTAATACAAGAAAAAACATCTACGGATTCAACAATGGACTGAGTTGAATATAATTTTACGAAATACCAAAAAAAAGCTTTCTCATTTGCGTATTTTTTTCTTTTTCTTCTTTTTTTTTTTTTGTTATAGTCAACAATCTTAATTCTTATTCATTTGTAAAGTCCACATTTTATTCCCTTTAATTATTTCATTTTATTCATTTTCATTTTATTCCATTATTTTATTTATTTTTTGTTGTTGCTATTTTTCTTCTTTTTTTTTTTTTTTTTTTTTCGTTTTGTAGCTTTTTTTCAAAGAATATCGCTTTCTACCCAGCAAAACGTTTTTCTTGCTATTTCGGTCTCTATAGAATGCAACACCTCAAGACGCGGACGTGGAGGCGCACGCACGCAAACACACACGCATACGGCTTACTCGCAAGCGAGCGCACACACGCATGGGTAATTGTGACCGTGCGTCGGCGCACACACGCGCGCACACACGCACACAGGTACTCTGATCTGGTTGAAGGGAATTAGAAAGACTCTTTTGCATTTAGATAGATAGATAGATAGATAGATAGATAGATAGATAGGGAAAGTTTACTATAAATATAAAAATGATGTGCCAGCCTTTAGAATGTGTTAGTTTAAAAGGAATCATTTTCAGATGATCGCTATATATTTTATTTATCTAAATCAATCACAACAAATCTAAAATAATTACATTATTATTATTAATTCACTGAGTGTATTTTTGCTTCAGTAATAAATGGTAACCTACACTGGAGCATAAGTCACAACGAGTCACCTCGATACTACAGCACCCTGCTCAGTATCCTCGCTGTTTTCAACAATGCCGTCATCTGGATGGTTCCAACTCATCCACCAATTTACGGTTCTTTCAGGCTCTCCAAAACAGTTTCCAGTGCTCTGTCAACAAATGGTACGACTGTTACCTTGAAGTTCCATAACTTCCTCAGCAAATTCAAGATACATATTCATTTTTCAGGTCTACTCTATGGTATGCTAGAACAGAGAAATCCACTATGTGATATATCTTCTTGTTTTTTTATTCTTTCATGTTCCGTACCCCTTCAGGACGTTGGCGATTATGGCTCTCCACAACTTTCTGCCTGTTGTTACTCTAATCAACGTTTGACTCTTTATCATCCCGCTTTATCCCTACACTGCCATCCGTTCACCCCAAGTTCATGAGGTAGTCTACTCGCGCTTTTCTTTTTGCACTTCCTTCTTTCAATATGACCTGTTAATGTTAAATTTTCCGAGCACTCTTTCCTCATAATGTGTCCAAGAATTTGCAACTGTCTTCTTGTTTAGAGTAGAAGACCGGATTTGGCATTAGCCAAATCCGGTTTTCTGGTCTAAATTTGTTGACCCGTTTAAATCAATAAGTCGTAAAGGATTTTATTATTTATTATTATTATTATTATTATTATTATTATTATTGTTGTTGTTGTTATGATAATTATGATGATGATGATGATGATGATCGTTCTCGGTATGATTTCAGCTATTATTGCTGTTATTGTTGCTGCTGGACTTGATGAGTTTGCCTACCAATAATAACTGGTGATTATCGCTTCACATCAAGTGACAGCAAGTTCTTACAATGCTTCGGCACTTTCGTCAGGACTAGTAATGATGCTGTCTGGAAGATTTCGATTCTTCATCGGATTTCCAATTCGTCCAACAATTTTTTTTTTTTTTTTTTTTGCAAGGCTCTTTGTCACTGTTGCACGCCTATTTTAATGTGTTCAGCTATCATCTTCAGTTTCTGCAATGTCTTCAGTTTGTTTGCTTGTTTTTTTGTTTTTGTTTTGTTTTGGGTTTTTTTTGGGGGGGGGTTCTGGCAAACTCTTGATATTTATACAACTTTTCCTTATCGCTCGTTCTCTCTCTCTCTCTCGTTCTCTCTCTCTCCCTCTCTCTGTCTCTTTGCTCTAGTGAAACAACGACTTCCACCGACCGATAGGTCTTCTTTTCTTTGTTTTTGTTATTCTCTCTTTTTATCGATGAAACCCTTCTGAAATTCAAAGTCGCAAAGTTGCTGATTTTTCCTCCTCTCTACTAATCATTACTAATCGAATTGCACCTACAATCGAGGTTCAGTATCAGTATTAGTCAATGAAATTGTCAAATAAAAATTATAAGGAAAATATTAAATATTATTACAGATGGTTTACAATTAATACATTAATACGACAATAAAATTCCATGTAGCTTCAAGACGTAGGTGATCATGACTCTCATCAGATCCCTTTTATTCATTATTTGCAAATCGCCATGACTTCTCGAGAAAATAGCAAAGTGATTTTCTTTGCCTTCTGCATGGTTTTAAATTCAAAGCTTTTATTCTCCTAGACTGGCTGCCAACCACGAATAGAGAACCCGGTTTACTTTGTTATTTAACCTACAATTGGGGGGTTAATGGCAAATATATTTTGAAATATTCGATAACGTTGCTTGAATATAATTATTAATTAATATCAGTTACATTATGGGTTGTATAGTTTTAATGAGAACCACTGAAAAATTCTCGGTCCGACCAAGAACCTATTCCAGAAAAGTTCGTCAAGCAGGAAACTTTTCTGCACACTCTGTAATTTCTGCTAAAATTAATGAAGTTAGAATTCGTTTCAGCAGATAGGTAATTAATTGCAAGAATCTAGTGATAAACAAATTAAGGATGTTAATTATAATCGTTAATCAATTATTTATCACTTATCGGCTTTTTTTTATTGGGATCATTTTGATTTTCTATAAATATTCTATCATCACCGTCATAACTATATCTGGTTGCACATTTTATTGCTTTATCATCATCATTATTATTATTATTAATATTATTATTAATATTATTATTAACGGCATTTTCGATTTCATTATTTTCATTCTTCTGTTCATTAACAATATAATATTCAGAATGATTGTTTCAGTTGCAATGACACTGTGAACTAATCCAATAGTTATTCATTCATTCATTTCTAGGGAAAAGACAGCCGAAGTGGATCAGGTTCAACAATGAGAAATACAACGGGATTATTTACATATCTTTTGACTTGTATCAGTGGTTACAGTAAAAGCTACAATAATAATAATAATAATAATTATTATTATTATTATTATTATTATTTGTTGTTGTTGTTGTTGTTGCTGTTGCTCTGTTTGCTTTTGTTGTTTTGATTTGTTTTTGCTATTGTTGCTACTGAGTTTGCTACAGCAGAAGAGGCTTTGATAGGAGATTAAGTGAGCCAAGTTTTCTCACTTCTCCAGCATTAGTATGAGTATTCATAATGATTTCATTGCACATAAATTCATAGCATCAACCAGCAAAAATTACACATCTACCTCATCTATGTCTCTATCTCTCTCTCCTTTTTTTTCTATCTCAGTCTCTATCTATCTATCTATCTATCTATCTATCTTTCTATATATATATATATATATATATATATATATATATATATGTCATTCGCACAAATACGGTATCACATCTGTGAGTTTCATGCACAATGCAATCGTCACGTAGTAATTTATTATCACCAGAACACAATGTGTGATATATATATATATATATATGTGTGTGTGTGTGTGTGTGCATGTGTTTGTCTGTGCGTGTGTGTGTGTAAATATTCTCAGATGGAATATATCTGTAAAATAGACAATATGAATGAAAAGTCGATTGTAAAATTATACTTAGTTTAGCAAATGTGATGGTTTTATGTTACAAAATAAAAAAAATAAAACCATCACATTTGCTTTTGATAAATCCGAGTAACGAAACGCGTCAGCTAAACTAAGTAAATTTTTACAATTGTCTTTTCATTCACACACACACACACACACACACACACACACATATATATATATATATATATATATATATATATATATATATATATATATAGTATTTACTTTTAAAAAGTGCTGAATAAAAAGTAGAGCAATATATTATTATTATTATTATTATTATTATAAGAGATTATAATAACAATATATATCGTCTGAAGAAGTACAAATTATTGAAACATGAAAGCTTTTGTGTAGTGATTTCAACATCTCTTTTATAAAAATAATCTCTCCCTCTCCTCTCTCTCTCTCTCTCTATATATATATATATATATATATATATATATATATATATATATATATATTATAAATAGAAAGAAAGAAAGAAAGAAAGAAATAGAAGCAGTCAAAAGGTACAGGTAATTAAGTGTGTCCGTGTGTGTATGTGTGTCCTTCGTCTATCTATATATTTCTGTTCATGACTTCTGTCTACCTGCCTTATTTATTTAAAGCTACATGATTTGTATAATATCCGATTAGAATCGGAAATGGTCATCATGATTAATCATGATTGATCTATTTCTTCTTATAACAATAACTCAAGAAACGGATTTTGTTTTGGACATAAGAAGCATAGATATCGGAAAGTTCGAAAGGTTTTTTTTATTTTTAAAATATCAACGAAGAAAAAAAAGATAAATATTTCTTGAGACTATAGATTAAAGAAAGAACAAAGAAATATTATTCAGAAAATAATAACGAAGGAAAAAAATAATGAAAGAAACAAAATCAAAGAAAGAAAGTGAGCTAAAGTATTATTACGAATGAATAATTGATTAAGACACGAATGATCGGTAAAAGCAAGGAGGGGTTGCAATAAAATTCAATTAAAATGAGAAGTAAAAAAAAAGATTGATAAGAAAGAAGGTTTTTAAACGAATTTAAAAAGGAAGAAAAAATAGGGTATTTCAACAGTAAATGAGAGTGATTCAAGGAAAACTTAATTGCGGTAAAAAAAAAACATAACACAAGTCGTCGTGCAAATAAAAGGAATAACTGTAGAATACATTTGAGTTAACGCTAAAGGTGACAATTAAAAGCAATAGATTAAGAAGAGAAAGCCTACTAAAAAAAAAATTTAAAAAAAGAAGAAAAAGGTAAGTATTAAAAAAACAAAAAAAAACAATTAACTTGATGACAATCTTACAACTAATAATAAAACAACGTCTTATGAGTTTTAAGGACGGTAGCGGTGCGTGTTATCCGAAAAGGAGGGCGGTGTTGCACAGGGAAAGAAAGAGTAAGACAAGGGAGAGAGAAAGTGAGAAGAAGAGAGCAACTCCTTTTAGCGAGTAACAGATTGACGCTGATTCGTTGTTCTCGTCCAATCGGCGTACGCCGCTTTTGTTATTCGCTTTCCATATAAAGCACCGCTGACCATGCAGTCGCACACGAGATGGGTGATCGATTTGGGTAAGAAGACAAGACTGGGTCGCTAAAACAAGTTATAACACCCGACACAGCGAAACACATTCGCACACACACACACACACATACACACACACACACACATCCACACACACATACAAACACACTCACGCACACATATACACTCATGAACGAAAGTGGAAAAGGAAAAAAAATGTCAATTTCAAGATTTAAAAAAACATGATAATGGACCTTACGTTCTAACAAGTCTCAAGTCATAATTATATCCACGTTATTTATTTGAGCATTTCTCTTGGAGTTCCACGTATGCTGATTATTGCCCAACTAAATATTCCTGGACATGGCTTCAATAATAATAATAATAAATATTATTATTATTATTAATTAATATTATTTTAACAACGCATCCTTCGAACGGAAGAACATCACCTTTAAAAAAAAATTGCAGAAATTGGATATTCATAAATACTGATACAATAAATATATATATAAATCTATATATATTTATATATTCATATATATGTACATACATTTATAAACAACACAACTACACAAAGAGAAACATATACATTAATATATATTTATATTTATTTAATTATTTATTTATTTTAAAAAATATCGTTTATATTCATATTATCAAATATATATAATATATATATACACACTCACAGAGAATATTTATATACAAACACACAATCCTGAGTAATTGAGTGCGTTCACATAAACACTAAACAACGTCATATGCTTAGTTTTGTGACCATAGTATTAACTTTCAAAATTCATATATACTGATTATTTAATCATTTTATTTATAAATAGTCATAAAAAATAAAATTATAATATTACCCGTTCATCCATATTTTATTTGTTAATTAATTTGATTTTATTTATTTATATGCTTTTAAGCACATGACCCCTATACACATTTTACACACACATTCACACATATTATGTATATACATATATATAAATATATGTGTACATACGGATACTGATGAATTGTAAGCGAATTGTTGATTCTCATTGAAAAGCCACAAGTGGAAAAATAAAAGTGCTCCAAAAAATCCAGTTCAGAATTACCGGAAGAAAAACAACAATGTCGATGGACTGACAGACACACACAAAAAAAAAAATCAACGACTTGAAACGTTTTAATATCTTTCTTTGGTTTACATGTTTTGCTACAACAGTACCAAATTCTCACCAATGAAAATCGATAGCGTTAAGGATATTTTAAAAACTTATCGATTTTCAAATTTTTTTTCATTGTCTAATTTAAAAATTGAATGAACTTTAAAAACAAACAAAAAAATTATTATTAATATATTTATTTATATATTCACACCGGACAATTTTGGATGAAAAACAAACAATAATATTTACCATAATAATGCATATTTTCTCCCATATCTACATATATATATACATATATAAAGAAATATATATATATATATATATATATATATATATATACAAATAAAAAGAAAAAAAAACAATCAAGTGGATATTCATTTACAATCATTTTTCATTTTGTTTTATTCTGTCTTATCGATCTACATCGAAACAGAAATCCTTCAATACGAAGAACAATTAAGTTGCATCAATTTATTTTTTTCTCATAAATACGTCCACATTTGATGGATGTAACTGTACTACCATGTCACTGGAGTAGGAGTGATTAAGTCACACCTGCGGCTACAAATAGACCAAGTTTATTTGTCAAACTTGAAATGAAAGGAAACACCCACACGTTTATTTACATACTATAATGTTGCCAATGTCATAATGGTAGATACTAAATGTACCACATGAGTAAAAGTTATTTACCGTATGAACAGTCCTTGGAACAAAGAGATAAGTAAACATATCAATAGTCATCTTTCCTTTTTTAAAAAAATTTAATATTGGCGGAAAATCTTTCGAAAGTAAAGAAAAATACAAGGACGAAAACTTAAAAAAAAACAAAAAAAAACAACGAAATAGAAAGAAAGGCTATGTCAATAATTTTAGTATAAAACGGCTTCAATTAATTCATATTTCTAAATTGCGTTCTTGCTATGTACGTAACAATATATTATAATTATTGATTATAAAATTACTAACTTTTGATCTGTCATCTTAACAGATGAGAATTTTTTAAATCGTATATTACGCTGTAATAAGAACTTCGGAGACAATAACTATTTTTTTTTAATTAATTTATTTATTTATCTATTTATTTATTTTTTAAAAAATCCATTCATTTTTAAAGAAAGGGTATCCCATTCCGGCTTCAAACTGAAAGACACAAACGCTTCTCCCGTACATCTGTTTTTGCTACCTTCGGTGCAATTTGAACGGACCAAAATGTTCAACAACGTATTAGCACCGTCACCAATTTACCACCAGAGTGTGTTCCGGGCGCCCCCAGTCGCATTGGCCACCCCTCCACCATCAACGACGGCTTCAACGTCGTTCTTGGTGGAAAATCTACTCCGAGATCGAACCCCGCCTCTCATCGCCCGTAGCGGTGTCGGACTCGGCGGTGTAACTGGCCTACCGACAAACCTCACTTCCACGCCGTCTAACAATCTATCATCATCATCACCTTCATCTCGTATCTCGTCGCCTACAACAACGGGTATTTCTACCTCCACAAATCTAATGAACTCATCGCCGGCACACTTTTCAGCTGCAGGCGCTGGCAACGTGGTGATCGTCAGCGGTGGGGCCGTGGCTGCGGGACCAACCAACACAAACAACAACCAAAGTAATAATAACTCTAACAATAACAACTCTTTGCCATCCGGACCCATCGGTGGGGTTCTAGTTGTTGGGGGTGCCGGGGCCAACGTTCCGGCATCTTCGTCACCGCCATCAACGTCACCATCATCGTTGTCGTCGTCATCTTCATCGTCGTCGCCATCGTCGACGTTAGCGGGAGCGGTGAATGCCGCCGCCGCCGCTGCCCGTTCGGCTGTTGCCGCCGCCGCCGCCGCTGCCGCCGCCCGTGCTGCCCATGCAGCTTCCACGGCCGCCAACGACCCCTCTGTCGGTAGAACGACCCCATCGACACAGAGCGGTGTCGGAGCTGGAGGCCCAACGACCCCTTTCCTCAAATTTGGAATGAACGCCATCTTAGCACCCGACACAACCCCAAAGCCAGGTAAAACGCCTTTTACTTCCTTATTCTTCAAGATTTGGCATCACTTGCCAAATCTGTAAATTGTCAAGTAATTCTGTTTCTTATTGGCATGAATGTCTCATTCTGAAGAATGGTTCCTTCTCCTTTTGTCTTGAACGTAATTCAACTCCATGACTTCTTAAATTCGTAACTATCTTCTTCTTTTCTTTCTTTCTTTCTTTCTTTCCTTCTTCTTCTTCTTCTTCTTCCCTATATCTTCTTTTTCCTCTTCTTCCTTTTTTCACTCACATCGAGGACCTCTTCGTATCTCTTCCTTTTCCTTCCGTCATCATTATAAATGTTTTTTTTTTTTTTCTTCTCCGTCTTTTCTTATGCTTCTTTCCTTTACTTTACACCTCTTCTCTATCTACAAATATTCATCACCTCTTTTTCTCACTTCTCTTCCAAACCATTTCCCTCCTTTCGTTCCCTTTTACAATCTTATTTACGATTCTAATTATTTATTTCTACGTTTCTTGTTTTTGCTTTTTTCGTCTTGATTGAACATTATTTTGCATGGTTGTGGCAAACAAAACAAACAAACAAAAAGAACAAAACAAACAAACAAAAAGCATCCGAAAGAAAGAAAAAAAAGAATGAAAGCACATGTATGATCAAGTTATTTATGTTTCTGTATATATCATTCTATTTATATATGAACACACATAAAAATACTTATATATATATATATATGTATATATATATATATACGTGTGTGTATAGATGGATAGATTGTTCACATGTCTCTGAGTCCTGTGGAATTGTATCTGCCCTTCATGAGACTTGATTCAACTGTTGTTTACATATGTATAAATAAATAAAGAATTTATTTATTTATTTTTAATCCGACATTTTTATTACTTCAAATGTTTTTTTTTTTTAATGAATACCCGTATTACGGGGTGTCTAAACAAATGCAGGTATTCACTAAAGAAATAACGTTTAAAGTAATAACACACATAATAATAACACACACACACATATATATATATATATATATATATATATATATATATATATATATATATTATGAAATGGACTATAGTCCGACAATTATTTTAATATATTTTTGTTTATACGTTATTTTTATAGATACAAATAAGTAAATACTAAAGAATATTAACAAGGCCGGTAAATTTTGTTAATAATACTGTTTATTATAAACAAAGCATTTACTTAAATATTTGTATGTATAAAAAATATATATATATATATATATATATATATATATATATATATATATATATATATATATATGTGTGTGTGTGTGTATATATATATATATATATATATATATATATATATATATATATACATTGTAGTTTTGTTTCGGTGTAAAAGCACATTGTTGTGTATTTTGTTTATAGTTCTTAGAAGCACGACTGCGTGTGTCACATAGCTTTGTTTATGTGAGTGATTGCCTGTCAATGTCTGAATGAGAAGTACAATTTTGTGTGCATATTAGTAGATTTTTCTCCATACATATCTTTGTCTTATGCATCTCTAAATGTATTTAAGTTCCTATGTAATTTTGCTTGGGATGAAAAACTCTTCTCCTGTAATCGGTGGCTTTTAATTTCAGTATCACTACATTTTTTTGTTACTAATAAGTTTCCATCAAATTTGTTTTATCATTATTATTTACTTTTTTTATTTTTTTATTATTTTTTATTTTTCTTAATGGCTTCTTGCTCGGGTTTATCACACCCTCCTCTGAAGAATCCTAAAATGTTTGAGATTTCTCAAATGTACCACAAGTTGACAATCGTATATTATCTACAACTATGTGTTTTCATATGACTTGTACTTGCACATGTTTGGAAAAGACGATTACATAAAACATATGGGTGTATTTTAAAAAAAAACAAAAAACATTTGTATTAATTTCTACGCATGTGTGTGTTTTTGCCCACGTGTGTATATCTGTGCATAATAGCATATAGTTATTTACTGGACAAATGTGATACAGAATTCTTTTAATTTACGGGGCGACACGATACGAGATCGCATGATGGATCATCTCAAAATTGCCCTGTTCTGTGTATATATATATATATATATATATATATATATATATATATATATATATATATATACAAATGATTTTTGTTGTTTTTTCTCTTACCACTGACCAACATTAACCGCCTTCAATACTTTCTCCTCCTCCGATAAAAAAAGGAAAAATGTAAAAACAAAGAAAAAAAATGTAAAAACAAAGAGAAAAATTACATAATAATAAGCATAGGAACCACTGCTGTAATAATAATAATAATAACAACAACAACAACAACAATAATAATAATAATAATAATAATAATAATAATAATAATAATAATAATAATAACAATGTATTTCATTCAAACAAATCATAACAAAACTTTGGAGAATTTTTGAAAAGACTAAAATAGAATATGAAAATGACTGTAATTCCGATAGTGTTTTGAACATCTGGAACCTTCCAAAGAACATTTTAGAAAACGAGTATCATAAACAAAAATAATAGAAAGCATCAATTCTTTTGTCAGATTAAAAAACACATGAGGAACAATGAAGAATGTCGAAGATATTTGGTGCCAACGTTCTTCAGTAATACATCAAGTAATTTCACAATGGCAAACAAAACAAAAAGGATATTCTTTTATTGTGGAACGCGAAAAAAAAATCTTATTATTATTCGGAATTCCTTATTTAGAAAAACACCAACAAAAAATTGGAATAATTTTAACGCATTTACAAAATTTAAATATTTCGTCTTTCTCAAGAGCGACTACTTGAAATGAACCGCATACTGAAAACACTTTTACCATCTCAGACACGCTGAACTCATAGCGAAATTCTCTCAATTTTCAATATTTAGCTTTGTATACAAATATTTGACTTTGTATGAACATAACATTATTAATATTTTACTATTTTTTCCACTTTTTATCGCAACACACAACAAAGAAAACAACGCAAAAAAAGGATGACAACGCTTCATCTAAAAAATTCGGACAATTCAAGATTAATAATTTATATCACTCATATTAACAATCTTTTTATTCCCAGCTTTTTGCCAATATCTCTCCCTCAAAATTTATGACTACTACTACTAGTATTTTTACTACGAATTATGATCATAATACAAATACTACTACTACTATTACTAATAATAATAATAATAATAATAATAATGATAATCCAGAAGAGACGCAACAGTGATTCTACTAACTAGACACTGCTTAATACTCGATTTAAATATAAAAAGTGATATGGTGACAGATTATTATTATTATTATTATTATTATTAATATTATTATTGGTGTCGTTTTGTTGTTGTTTAACTTTTGATATGTGTTGCATATAATAAGAATTCAAGCTTTCATAAAAAAACATTTTAATAAAAGAAAAACTTGAAAAATAAATTTTTTAGTCGATTTAGTTTGTTTTTTTTTTAATATATTGTATTTTATTCTTATTGACTTTGAATTCCTTTTTCGTCTTTTGCTGTTTTAATTTTTCCGTCTTCTAAAACAAACGACTAAAATTATTGATGAAATTGATAAAATATAATAAAATAACAATCGCAACTTTTTATAACACTTAAATTCTGTTTCTATCAACAAAGATTTTCAATTGAACATTGACTTCCTTATTATTTCTTGTATTGTTTTTGTCTGTGTTCGATTTTAAAACTGTCTACATTATGCATGTTGCAATAATTATTGCATTTATTTATTTGAAGATCCGTCATTTCAAGATAGAATAATCATTAAAATGATAATTCTTAATACAAATTTGCCTTGGATACAGAAAATAGTTTGATGATGATGATTATTATTATTATTATTATTATTATTATTATTATTATTATTATTATTATTATCATCATCATCGTCATCATACTCTCCTGAAAAATCATTTTTTTAATTTCTTATAAACTGCTAGAGATTTTGTTAATGATTTTGTCTGTACCTTCCTTGATCGTATCCAGTGCTCCCATTATTATAGGTTTAACCGGTGTTCTAAAATGTCGCATTTTTCTTTTAAATTTCAATTTATTTTGTCATATTCTTTAATTGATGTGTTTTTATCATATCTATCTACTATATCTATGAGAAGGGTTTTGGGCTGTACTTAGAATTTTTCTTTTTATTATTTCCTGGAGAGATGGTGGACCTGGGATTTTTTATCGATTTGTTGTTGAGTTCCTTTCTTTATCAGACCCAAAGCTCCAATTACAACAGGGACAGTTTTAGTTTTTAAGTGCTACATTTTTGTTTTTGTATTTGCTTATTTTTTTTTCAAAAACCTTCACAGAGATTTTTTTTCTCACTTGGTACGCTCAGGTCAATCAGTGTGAAAACATTTTTCTGTTATTATTATTATTATTATTATTATTATTATTATTATTATTAAAATTAAATTTTAAGAAACCTTCTCTTTGTGTTCAAGCATTCGTTTTAAAATTATTTTCTCGGTTAAATCTCTCACCCTTTCTAGTTTTTGTGACGTTTCGTAAATTTATCATTTCTGATTTTAATATTAACAAAATCAAGCCAGATCATTATTAAAATCATTGCTTTTATTACCATATCTGTCATTATTATAGTAATTGAAAATACCTTTTTTTTCTTAGCTTAGATAAGCTAAGAAAAAAAGGCATTTTCAGTTACTACATCTTTCACTTGCTTACGATATATTTTATCTGTAGATTCAATAACTGTTTTACCAAGTATCTTTTACAAGTCTCTTTTAATGTAGTCACTTATTTATTGTTATTCTAAATCTAAAAGTGAAATACAAAATTTCTTTTTTATTTAGATTCCTTTTTTTTTATTTCAATATAAATATCACTTTAAGATGCTTCTGAATCTTCTTCTATTCACGTTTCAGATCATAAATCCCCCAATAAGCAACAAAGCAAGAATTTTGTATGCAATTAAATCATTTTTACTATGATTAATATGATCA